TGGAAAGACAATCCAGTGATTGAAATCGTGAGCATCGATCTACACAACTGGGATACGATGACATGCGTCAAACATGTCAGCGAGCCTGACCACCCGATCCCGTTAGTCGCCTCTTACGACGCATAGTCGCCTTTTACGGCAAGTATGGTTTGCCGAAGATCTATTCTGACCCGGATCTTCACGAGTCGATACCGGTGGTGTTTCCCTCATAATGAATTCAGCTTGAGTAATTTTATGATGGATTCTCCTTCTTTCTGTCCATGTTGATACAGGGAGGAAACTCTTTCCATAATTATAAGAAAAAGAAGAAAGAACAACTCCATTCCAATCATAGCAAATGCCTGTATTTAAGGCTTCACGCTGTTCTGGTGTCGGGACTAGAAATACACGAGACCAGATAAACCGCCCGTCTGTTTCATACTTACATTTATGCATAAAGATTCTACACGACTGTATGATAAGAGGGACAACTTCGGCATTACAAAAGTCAACTTACCTTTATGTCGACCAATATTCCAGCAGCTCTAGTCTCTTTGGTTTCTACATTTCACAACTTTCGAGGAACAAGCAAACATGCTCTTTCTACGAATATTTCAAAGAACGTCATGTGACTCAGGGTCAGGGTAATAATATAGATAGATCCCGAGTTGGGTCTGGACAAAACAATTCCTCAAGTGACACTATGAGCCGAGGTGAAATGGGGTTTAACATCGCGTCCAAGATTATTGCACTTATATAGCGACGTGCATGTACGTGTGTGTGTTTGTGTGGCTGCTTATACTAGTCCGGACTGATGCCGATTTAAAGAGCTAGCTCACTGAGATACCATGCCAAAGTTTAACATGAATACCCCACTCAGACACAGTATACTGAATCTGAGCCGACCAGTTCTTGTTTTAGCCCCTTAATGCCGAGCGTCAGACAGGGTAACAACAAGTACCAATTTTTAACGTCTTTTGGTATGACGCGGCCGGGGATCGACCCCGGACCTTAAGCTCTCCGGGCGGACGCTCTCCCACTAGACCGTACCTCAGAGGCGGTCAGTGACACTATGAGTTTATTATAGGGGCACTGGTGCCTCAATGATCAGTTTCATAACGCGCAACATTTTGCGTCTTCACGTGTGTTATTTCCCAATTATTAATGGTACAAATCCACGAAATGCTCAATGGTTTGTCCGCACCACACCTATGCTCTTGAGTTTCACCAAAATGGAAAACGTTCACATCACTTTGCGCTTTTCTTCCACATTAAGGTGACGCGCGGAGATATTATTGAAATCATGTTCAAAGCTCTGCACTCATTCAGTTTATTATTTTTAGCGATCCTTCAGAAGTATGTCTGTAAGAATGTAACTTTACTCCCAGTTTGAGGAGTGTTCCAAAGAATTTCACAACATGAACAGCAGTGTTCTCGAAAGCGTGATACATTCAGATATATGCGGAAAAGAGCTGTCAAACATTTCATCATGGAACATTGTATGCATGTTAAAACATAATCTTTTTTCAATCTACACCTTAAATTGTCAGCGTTAAAAGTAATTGAACGAAACATAACACTTGGCGCCAGAGGAAACACAGCCTCGCTCATCTGCAGAAACAGATTCCAATGGGCGTAAACGTCAACATATCGTAGAAAGAGGATTTTAGAGCGATAAAGTCTATTTCCCACAGGAAGAAACTGTGTGTCCTTATGAGAACGTCATCTTTCGGTGTTTGACATAAATGAAAATCATCTTCGCGAACTGATTGCAGCTTTTGGGATATGGGCGTTGCCATCGAACTGAAGGATGTTTTGGGGATATTTCACAGACTCCTGTTCAAGCAAATACGAGTGTAATTGTCATTCTACAATTCTTCAGATGAACTTTCAAAACGTTTTTCAGTACTTCGTGGGAAGGGTAATCGCCCTCAGATGATCACCGACCATATTGATAATATGCAGACAGATCTAGAACAGCTAACGGAATACTCTCCTCTCACACCTCTCCCAAACAACCACAGAGTGTTAAGTAAAGAAATTGATTTATAACAGTCCTGACACGCCCAATGCTGACGTGGATGATCAAGAAAACTATTGTACTACAGTAAACTACGGTTATAACGAACACGCTTATAACGAACTTACTTTTTTGGTCCCGACTATTTGCTGTATATATGCTGTATATATGCTTATAACGAACTACGGTTATAACGAACTAAAATTAGTAGTCCCTTTGAGTTCGTTATAACCGTACTTTACTGTACTTCTTACCTTATATGACCAATCGAACGTGGTGGCACGTGGTCCTGTGCACAGCTCACAAATCAGGTGAAGCAAAGCAGCATTGTCCGCGGAGAGTCCTCGGTTGGGTGAACGTGTTTGGCAGCTTTGCTCATGAGAGTTTCTGGGTCTTAGGTCCTGTCCTACACTGAAGCACATGTAACACACGTGTTGTCTCCTTTGGCAAGTGACTTTTTTTTCGAAATGTGCCCCTTTTCAGCCAGTTGTGAATGTGTACCCGGAGGATGAGATGGCAATGTGGCTGTTAACCTTCTAGGGCCTCACGGGCAGCTTGGGTTGTGTGCTCCCCGGGGATTTTCCTGAGAATGATTGTTGAGTGCACACTGATCCAAATTGATACGACTATATGAATGATCTTCTTAAGGCAGTAGACACCGATGGAGCATTTGAAAAAACTGCAAGTGCATAATTCCCACGAGCTCACAGGCTGTGTACTGCATAATTCCCACAAGCCCACAGGCTGTCAACTGCATAATTCCCACGAGCTCACAGGCTGTCAACTGCAAAATTCCAACAAGCCCACAGGCTGTCAACTGCATAATTCCCACGAGCTCACAGGCTGTGTAATGCATAATTCCAACAAGCCCACAGGCTGTCAACTGCATAATTCCCACGAGCTCACAAGCTGTCAACTGCAAAAATTCCAACAAGCCCACAGGCTGTCAACTGCATAATTCCCACGAGCACACAGGCTGTCAACTGCAAAATTCCAACAAGCTCACAGGCTGGCAACTGCAAAATTCCAACAAGCTCACAGGCTGGCAACTGCATAATTCCCACATGATCACAGGTTGTTAACTGCATAATTCCCACAAGCTCACGGGCTCGCAAATCTTGAGTCACATGTCAGCACCATCTGCAGACTATCATATCATCATACCCGGAACATCTTTCTGATATGGAGGCTCTTAAATCATCATTCAGCTTCGTCACTGATACAATCCAATATTACATCTCGGATAAACTGTTGCAATTCACTTCTCGTCGGCCTCCGGAAGATTTTGCTGGCTAAACGAAATTGCAGTGGATACAAAATGCAGCAGCAAGAACTGCAAGTAAAACGAGAAATTGTGACCACATCGCTCCAGTTGTAAAAACTACACTGACTGCTTGCGCAAAGTATTGATATATGTCTTCAAGTGAGTAAATGTAGAAGCTCACGAGCAGCCTACCTGTCGACTTAATCAGCACCAACCGATTTTTTTTACCTAGTGTTTCTGCAAGCTTCGTTTTCACTCACAAAAAACGTACGACGATCCACCATACCAATGGAACAAGGTCCCTCTTCACATCGGATCACAGCAACAATTAGTCCCAGCTGAAGACTCGCCTTTTCAAGATCTGACTTTTCTATTGTCGTTTGAGCAGTGCTAGCTGGAATGCTAGCGCTATATAGGTGTGTGTATGTATTTGTGTATGTTGATAATGACAGACAATAAGGACGAAAACGTACATGGGTGGACAACGACCGTTTAATGTTCATTTCTTAGATGAAAATACACTTACTGCTGAAACATTTTTCAGCATATCGATGACAAGATATATGATTCAAAATGTTACACAAAATAATCTTTACAAATTGATTGATCATGTCTTCGATTGACAAATGTGTCTCTCTCCTGTAAGTCTGATGCAACATTTCAAAGACAATAAATTAAGAAGCAAGTTGATTTGATTAAACCGATGTGCATAGGGCCTATATATATAAATATTCAGGTATATACGTATATTCGCGTTCGTTCGTTTCTTATGTATCAATAGTAGACGTCATAATATTATAAGTAGTGACGAGATAACGCCGCAAATACCAGTCATTATATACCGTATGTTGAAGCTTTTGTTTGAATTCAATTAACGTATACATTACGAAGAATATGTCCATGTCAAGATTATTTTCACAATATAATTCTAAAACGGCACACATTTAACGAAAGAAAGCAAAACAGCACAAAATAGAATATAACTTCAAAATATCAGTATTGTCTTAAAGTACGTTCATGAAGTCAATCCACGTAAACACGCAAATCATGATGTAAAGTTTGCTTTGTTGTTCTGAATAAAAATGCAGTTATATCATGCCTGACCGCATGGCCCGTACCGACGTGTTCTGATAAAAAAAACAAAAAAACAAATATAGTTTTGATATTTTTGATTACCTGATCACTTATCCTGTACCCTTAGACCGTTGTCCATTTGTACACATTATCTGGCAGGACATCACACAGGCAAACATCCAAAATAATGCACAACATCAGATGCGCACAATTCATAAGCACTGCATCTGGATTGAATTACGAAAATATTCTTTTCAAATGAAGCTATTATATAGAGAATCTCACCCGAGTGTCTTTTGATATCAAATATATCAACACGAGTTGATAAAAGTGGAAAAATTCCGAGGCTTGCCGAGGATCTTTGCCACTTTTATCAACGATATTTGATATCAAAAGACACAAGGGTGAGATTTTATTTATCATCCAACATCATTCTTCCATCTTTTTCAATTTGTTGACAGTTATTAGCAGTGTCTTCAGTGTAAAAAAGTACTAACAGCTTCAGTAGCAGAGCCATTAGTGATGTCATTTGATTGTGACGTCATGGTAACCAGTGGCGTCACAATGGTCTGCAAAGCATTGTGATGTAATTTCATTGCAGCGATATCTACAGTGTAGATATCGCTTGATCTCATTCAAGCGATATCTCCTGTGGGAGCCAGTTTTAAATGATAAATAAAGTTATAAGGATATATATTTACAATTGACAATACTGACGTACATGTATGTGAAGAAACACATTTTCGACAAACTAGAGAAGAACTCCCTTCAGTTTAATAGGTTTTCGTATAATACTAAAAAATCGTTCCGCTGGGTGCGATTTGTGTGAACGATGTATTCTATCTCTTCCTTCGGAACACTGCCAAACCTAGCTAAACCATTTTGAAATTTGGACCCTCTTCTCGGCTGTAGTTCAGCCTGTTCATGTTTATTCATACGGGAAACATTGCGCCGTCGGTCACAACACACCCAAAGTAGAGCTCGTCGGAACTTCCGGGACACGAAATTATACACAAATGGATTAATAGCGTGATTGGAGTAGAGGAGGATACGAGGGAAATACAGCACGGCCAGATATCCCTCCAACCCTAATTTCCGTAGGGTTCCCCGATCCTCAAACATTGTCCAGATAACGAGAGCTCGGTAAGGCGTGTGACAGATGAAGAACACAAGAACCACCGTGACGATTATCTGAATCATCTGTCTCTTCAGCTTGACTATCTCCTTCGGATAGGTCTCCAGCTTCTTACGCTCGATCCTGTACAGTGATATCAGCTTGGTTCCAACCTTGCTGTACAGGGTGAGGATGAAGAGAAGCGGGATGACGAAGAAGAAACTGGTGATGAGGACAATGTACACCCTATGCCAGGTCTTGTGGATTGGAGTTCGGCAGACCGGAACTAGAGTACCATCCACCAGGGGCAAGGTCTTGTACTCTGTGATGAAGAAGAACGGGATAGCCGAAATGATGGAAACTGTCCACACACATATGAAGGCCTTCACTATGACGCTGGTTCTGGTCGATAGCTGCGTTTGTGTCCGACATGCAACTCTGAACCTCTCTATACTGATAGCTAGAATCGTGGATACCGATGCATGGCTGACGACATTTTCGAGGAATGTGATGAAGTGACCTGCAACATATGGTAAAATAGTGAGTGAGTTGATTTTAACTCCGCTTTTAACATTATTCCAGTTATATCACGGTGTGTCAACTTAATGTGGGAGGAAAGCCCGAAGTGATGCAGGTCTCAAACGTTTACCACTTCGGTGAAACCACGAGCACGGGTATTGTGCTGACAAACCTAGAAACATAATCAGGGCGAACCGGGATTCGAACCCACAATTATAGGTTTCTGGCGTGCCCAAGGGACGCAACTCTGCACAGCGAATCGCGGCGCCTTAGACGACTGGGCCACCCGTGCCCCCTGGTTAAATAGTTGTAAATGTTGGTAAACATATAGAAATGAAATGAGTATAGTAAGTGATAACTCTATTGCGACTGTATGTTACAGTTGTTGGTTGATCATCGGCATTACGGAACATAGGAAATGCTTTCATGTAATGTCACTGCATTCGCAGTTTGACAACCTGAAACCGTGAATACCAGATACTACCGAAACGTTTTAGAAGTAACATTGCCCCTAAACCACCTCCAACTTACTTTATCATCAGACTTCCCAAGGTGTATTTGCGGATTTGTCAAATATAGTTATAACTTTTGTTTGTTTGTTGTTTAATGCTGCACCCACCACCCACATATACACACAGTACACACACACACACACACGCACGCACGCATTTTAGAAATGATACATAACCTCAAGTCTCCGATAATTAGCTTGAACTTTTGGATAAACACCAACTGGATGTAGCATTGCTCGAGAACCCATACATGTTGGAATTAGATACAAGTAACAATTGTTTAAAAAACATTTTCAAGCCCATATCAGTATTTCCGATTCGATAAACGTGTCAGGACATATCATGTCAAAATACATCACGTATCATTATTCAATAGTGTGTTTTGTATATGCGAATGAGAATACAACTCTAAAAAGAAGTAACAGCAATATGCTATCCATCTCGTTTGAGGTGAGGTGAGGTGAAATGGTGTTTAGCGTCGCGTCCAAGATTATTGCACTTATATAGCGACGTGCATGCACGTGTGTGTGGCTGCTTGTTCTAGTCCGGACTGATGCCGATTTATAGTGCTAGCACACTGAGATACCATGGCGCAGTTTAACATGAATACGCCACTCAGACACAGTATACTGACTCCGAGCCGACCAGTCCTTGTTTTAGCCCCTTAATGCCGAGCGCCAGACAGGGTAACAACAAGTACCATATTTTAACGTCTTTTGGTATGACGCGTCCGGGCTGACGCTCTTCCACAAGACCACGGAGGCGTCCATCTGGTTTAAACTCGTCACTGAGGACACTGAAGGTATCCGGAAGCAAAATAAAGGTTGAATTGGAATACATCTTAATAACATGAACTAGGGAATGTTATCTCATTTTGCAGTGATATGTTTCAGAAGATGTAATTATGTTTTATTTCTTTTGAGCATCCCTGCTCTGTAATAATAGAAAACAAGAGGGATACAGAACGGCCTTCGGGTCATGAAGCAGATATACATCGCACAGAACAAAGACAACCGGATCTATTACCGGTTTTGCATTAATCGGACAGTGCCGTAAAACCATTCCATGCCAGACAGCCAATTATCCCCATGACTATACATAGTATTTATACACAGACATCCAATCTCAAGGTGGACGGTTGTTCCTTAAAAATCGATTGCACTGCAGTTTAGATATTTCTTCTTCCATGATTGCAAGACATGGGGTGGGAGGGGGATGAGGGGGTGTGTGTGTTTGGGGGGGGGGGGGGGGGGGGAACTCACATTGGGGGCCCAGAGATCCATGTCCAAACCACAGGTACACCTGTGGTTTGAGTCCCAGATTGGACTCTGTCTATCATGCAAGCACCATGTACATGCATCTTTTTGGGACTGCCTTCCAAATTATACTGACCCCGGTATTTGGTGAAACTAAAGTACCGTTAAACCCAAACCCCTCACTCACATGTCTGTTTGAAGGAATACAGGAACAGTTATGAATGCATACGAAGGGTTATATACTTTTGGGTTCACAAGAGTTAATGTTACGAAAGTACTATCTGAAGAGCCATCCCTTATACATTGTACAATAAACAGTCAAAATATACACAGAATACACGTAGCTACGAAACGTGTGTTATACAAAATATAAATGATACTCTCTAAACATTCTAGGTTTTGAATTATGTAAATGTTAAGAGAAGGAATGCACTGGATCTGCATAATTTTAATAATTGAAACCTTAAGAAAGAAACCTTTTATCTTTAGCTTTCGTACTTAACTCGATAACACATTTGAAAACACGCACTGTTTGCTCCTAATTAACGGCCATGTTTTGTTTGTTGTTTAACGCCGCTCTCAGCAATATTTCAGCTATATGACGGCGGTCTGTAAATAAATGAATCCTGACCAGACAGTCCCGTGTCATCAGGCGCATAGATATACGCAGTTGGGATACGATGACATGCATCAACCAAGTCAGCGATCTCTGACCACTTGATCCTGTTAGTCGCCTCTTACGACAGGCATGGTTGCTGAAGACCAATTCTATTTAACGAACGCGAGTTGCTACTCACACATGGATTTGCCGAGGTACCACACTTCCCGGGCATATATGTCCACCACTGCTGTTGGTCCGGTAATCAGGAGGACAAACAGGTCAGCTAGACAGAGGTTCAGGAACAAAAAGTTGATGAAGGTTCTCATGGAACGACATTGCAGAACAACAGAGATGACGGCAAAGTTGCCGCACAGACCTACAACGAAGACGACGACGTAGAGGGCGGTGGCTGTGCCGAGAAGGTAGGCGGGAGGATGCGGCACAGATGGATTGTTTGTTGAAGGGATGTCCGTGGTATTAATGGACTCACCAAACAAGAAGGACGTGTTGTCACCCATGGTCTTTACCTCGTCACTGTAGAAGGAATAAAATGTGTCACACAGAATATTACTAGACATCCGAAAAGAAACTTGACAGTATATTAATATACATGGTGTTAATTAATCAAGTGGAAATTAATTTGCTTTTATGTAAATAGAGCATTTACTATTAAGCAGTAATGAATAGTTTATCAGTCTATCAGTACGGGGTGCACAGGCGGCCCAGTCGTTTAAGGCGCCGCGATTCGCTGTGCAGAGTTGCGTCCCTTTGGCACGCCAGAAATTTATGATTGTGGGTTCGAATCCCGGTTCGCCCCCGTACTGCTTCCAAATCTCGCAGCACCAGTGTACAAAACGTCAATAACCTTAAAAGCAGTCTGATTATTCTGAAAAATGAACAGCCGTTTCTTAATAAGAAAGATATAGTGTCAGATATGTTATAGTATCACCGGTGAAGAGACACCTGGTGAGGTACTTAAAACTTTAATGTTTATGTGTTTTTTCTTGGATAACCATGACGTCGCTAAGGTCACACATGAAAGGGTTCGTCGTTTACACGTTATTAAACCACATGCTTCACTTTCGATATGCATTCGCTATGACCTTAACAAAAGATCAACTTCAAGTAAAGGGGGGCCCGGGTGGCTCAGTCGGCGAAGGAACCGCAATTAGCTGTGCTGTGTCCCTTGGACACCTGAAACCTGTGATCGTTGGTTCGAATCCGATTCGTTCCGATTATGCTTCGAGCTTCGTCATATGCTCGTAGGTTTCACCAAAGTGGTAACAGTCTATGCTAAGAACCGCACCACTTCGAAGCTTTCCTCCCACATTAAGCTGACACGTCGTTATATACTGGAACTACTGTTCAAACCAAACTCACTAACTCAGTCACACATGTAAAGACTTATACAATCGAGATATACCCATTAGCCATGTCTACATATAGATTGAGGTAGGTTGTCTTGATGGAGGACTGGTATGTACACAGTCACTTCAATCTAATCTAGTACGTTTCGCCCTCGGATGGTAGCTCAGGTTGACGATTGAAGACAAAACTCATGGGTGAAGTTTAAGACGACAGCAGCTATGTTTATGGCTGCAGGTCGAAATGGTACCGGTTGATAATAACGTGACAGAACGCACCCCGGGACTACGTGACCAATGTTCCTGGTGCGGAGACCGCTCTGTCACTTAACAAGTCAATGATCTATGCCCGTCTCCCTGATTGACCTTGTCAGTCAGGTTTTGTAGATGGAGGTATTATATAACGTGGGGCAAGGTCATTGACCCACGAGCATGTATGTACGTTAGATCTGGCGACGTAAGGAGGTCTTAATTGACATTTATTGATTAATGGTCCTGCCCGGAAGGGGCTTATGATAAGAGGGGATACGCCGAATGTTTGCTGAATATATTAAACAGACAACGGGCATAGAATTTCGGCGCACTTGGAAACATATTGATCCAAATAGGTATTTAAGATAAATTAAGTTTTAAATATAAGTATTGAAATGGTTTGCACTTTAACAAATGTAACAAATTGCAGCTGACAAAAGCATAGATCCATCAGGCTTGGCGTGCTCCCAAGAGTTCATACACAAAGTTGGACATAAAGAAATATAGCCAACACTCAGGAATAGCTGTGAAACTACACTAGCGACGCCAGGTATTGGCCGTCGATCTCCACATATAAAACGTCAACACAGAGAATAATCAGTCTCGGTTATCTATCGGAACAAATTGCATTGGGCGTAAAAGAAAACAGAGTGGTGAAAATTATCTGAATAGATTAGTGGTGACAACAGGTGTTCGCGAAAAGAGGAAGCATGACCCGCTCTACCGGTAGCACCCGCCACTCACATAATACATCACCACGGTATTGTAGCACAACTGCTAGGTCTTAGTGTACATGTATAAAAAGCAACTACATGTTTCAAAACCCGGCTGCTGCCGCATGCGACAGGCGCACGGGATGGTAACATGCGGGTGACATGCGACAGGCGCACAGGCGGGTTACATGCGACAGGCGCACGGGAAGGTAACATGCGGGTTACATGCGACAGGCGCACATGCGGGTTACATGCGACAGGCGCACGGGAAGGTAACATGCGGGTTACATGCGACAGGCGCACAGGCGGGTTACATGCGACAGGCGCACGGGAAGGTAACATGCGGGTGACATGCGACAGGCGCACGGGAGGGTAACATGCGGGTGACATGCGACAGGCGCACGGGAGGGTAACATGCGGGTGACATGCGGCAGGCTCACGGGAGGGTACCATGCGGGTGACATGCGGCAGGCTCACGGGAGGGTAACATGCGACAGGCGCACGGGAAGGTTACATGCGAGTGACATGCGGCAGGCTCACGGGAGGGTAACATGCGACAGGCGCACGGGAAGGTTACATGCGGGTTACATGCGACAGGCGCACGGGAGGGTAACATGCGGGTTACATGCGACAGGCGCACGGGAAGGTAACATGCGACAGGCGCACGGGAGGGTGACATGCGGGTTACATGCGACAGGCGCACGGGAAGGTAACATGCGGGTTACATGCGACAGGCGCACGGAATGGTTACATGCGGGTTACATGCGACAGTCGCACGGGAGGGTAACATGCGACAGGCGCACGGGAAGGTTACATGCGGGTTACATGCGACAGGCGCACGGGAAGGTAACATGCGGGTTACATGTGACAGGCGCACGGAATGGTTACATGCGGGTTACATGCGACAGTCGCACGGGAGGGTAACTTGCGACAGGCGCACGGGATGGTAGCATGCGGGTAACATGCGACAGGCGCACGGGCGGTTAACATGCGACAGGTGCTATGGCGGGTTACATGCGGGTTACATGCGACAGGCGCACGGGATGGTAACATGCTGTTAACATGCGGCAGGCGCACGGGCGGGTAATATGCAGGTTACATGCGACAGGTGCTATGGCGGGTTACATGCGGGTTACATGCGACAGGCGCACGGGAGGGTAACATGCGGCAGGCGCACGGGAAGGTAACATGCGGCTTACTTGCGACAGGCGCACGGGCGGGTAACATGCGGGTTACATGCGACATGCGCACGGGAAGGTAACATGCGGGTTTCATGCGACAGGCGCACGGGCGGGTAACATGCGGACACATGCGACAGGCGCATGGCTGGTTGGTTGGTTGGTTGTTGTTTTACGCCGCACTCAGCAATATTCCAGCTATATGACGGCGGTCTGTAAATAATCGACTCTGGACCAGACAATCCAGTAATTCATATCATGAGCTCTTTATTTCAATAACCTTGTTTTCACGTATACATGTAGCACTACCCAATTACCCGTCATATCTTGTCTGTCATACAGACCCTAAAACAAAACGATGAAAAGAAATGCCTTCAGTTGCGTCAAACAAACTCCTTGCTTTCATCATATTTAAAAGAGGCTTCTTATGTTTTTCATTTGAGCGACTCAATTTAAGTCTACGTCCAGGCGTTCAATCTACAATGCCTTGACATAACCAGACACACGTGTTTGACAAATAGGACGCAATCATCGGATAGCGTAACATGAAACGATGAGCGTTCGCTCACATTTTACCAACACCTGACAATCTGAACAACGTCAAACGTAGTTCGATTATATGCCAGGGCTGGATGAAACGTTCTAAGCCTCACATCGAAAGATGTGTGGTATGCCCTTAACAATTTGCATGTTATAAGTACAGTACTCCCATGCTTACCTGCTCTATTTGAACGAAATACACAACAAAGAAGCTATTTTCCAGGCATCAAAGTGACTGGGTGTTCTGTGTTAATGAATGTGGACAAATTTGGCTACCGAGCTGTCATCAAGTATTTCAAACTGATCTCCATCCATGCGGACATGGTGTCATTTATAGGGATGATGCTCCTTCCTTTCCCACTGTAGAGATGCGGGTAGCAGAGATCAAAGAGGGAAGATGATCCAAGCTCCACTACTATGTCAAATGTTGATAAAACATGATAATGGATGACACGTCACATAGCCTACACAGTGGGCATCTCTCATGGGGGAGTTGATACAATTCTGAGGAATGAACTGGGCATGGCAAAGGTTTCAGCACAATGGGTTCCAAGGCTTTTGACTCTGCCACCACTTGCACAAAGCGATCGTAGCGCTACGACTATTGCAAACCTATGTTAAAGTATGGGAGTTACGATCATCTTAGCGCTAAGATCGCTTTGTGCAAGTGGGCCCTGGTCAGGTTCATCATCTATTTACATCGTTGTGTAAGCATAGATGAATCTTGGGTTCACCACCATCAGCCACTGACTTCACAGAGCAGTGGAAACCTCTAATGACTCGTCCTCAGAAGAAAGCAAAGTATGTTCCATCAGCTGACAAGGTGATGTCTTCGGTTTTCTGGGATAGCAACTGGTGGACTACCTCTCGAAAGGCCAAACCATCAATGGCCAATATTATGCTAATATCAAGGCTAAACGTCGTGCACAACAACCAGAACAATGTTGCAGGTCACATGCAATCCCTGATTAGCCTTAAACTCATAAATTGTGAACAAGTCGAAAATGTGCAAACCTAATTTTGTAAAAGGGTTTTGGAAAATGTGCAAACCTAATTTTGTAAAAGGGTTTTGGAAAATAAGTAAATGTATCATTTAACTAAAGCATTTATCCATGACATAAGCTTATGACATAAAAACATGTATGTCATACCCCAATGACATAAGTATGCAAATTAGCGAAGGAATATGCCATAAAGGAGTTAAGAGGTTGTATATCTTGGTTTTCACGGCTATGGAAAACACTACGCACGATCTATACGTAAGATTTCGACAAGTTGCTGATGAAAATGTTAATGCAATTATTCCTTAAAAGGGAAGCAAAAATGTGAAAATGATAAAGAGGATTTATCACGAGTGTTTTTTTAATATGGGAAATATCAACCTCGTCCCGTTAATCGGTATTAACTAAGACTCGGTTGATATTTCCCATATTAAAAAACACTCGTGATGAATCCTCTATATAAGAAACTGTTAAGGCACTCTGGGA